CAGGAACCTGTAGTTTCTCATCTATTCCTGTGTGTATGTGTCCCAAGCACTGTCTGCAAGCTAGTCCTACACAACAGTCCTTCAGATAAACTCCGACCAGTTGTGGACACGAAGCACCACATATGTAACTGTGTCTGTGAAACTGTGGTGGGCGGCTGTGGCTGTGTCGGTGTTTTTCTAATCACGAGACAAGTGACTTTCCACCCTGAGCAGGAGCACTAGAAGGCCCAGTCCACGAGGCAGCCCCACCCCCAACCAGGGGTTAGATAAATAACAAGTAAAAACAAAACAAGTAAGACCACATGGTGTCTGGAAAGCTTTGAGGTTCAAAGGGCTTTCATTTTGAATGGTGTAAAAAAAAATTACTAAGGTACTAAGGGGGACCGGAAGAAGAAATTCTCAAACAGCACAGAGGCAAACAATGGCCCACCACCTGTCCTTGAAAATAAAGTTTTATTGAAACATAGCTAGATGACTTGCTTATCTATGGCCTTGACTCTGTCTACAACACACCCAGGTCAGAGACCGTAAAACTTATGCAAGCACAGGGACCTGGGTTTGATCCTCAGCACTCATGGGTGAGGGGCTGGGGGGGAGTGCGGGGTGAAGGACAGGCCCTGGCAGCACACATGGGGGCGGGGGTGGCTTGGACTGTCTGGCCAGTCGGTCTCGATGATTTAGTGGACCTCAGATCCCAGTTAGAGACTCTATTTCAAAAACCAAGGTAACTTAGTCCTGAGAAATTAGACCCAAGGTTGTCCTCTAGCCTCTGACACATGTGCAACCCACGCATACAAGACCACTCACACAAACATGCCATATACATACCACAAGTGAATACATTTTTAAAAAGAGAAAAAGAATTGGGCTTTTGAGATGGCTCCATGGAGGCAGGCACTTGCCATCAAACCTGCCATCCTGAGTTCAATCTCAGGGATCACATGGTGGAAGGACAGACTCAATTCCCACAAGTTGTCCTCGGGCCACCATAAGCACACATGGAACATACAGACACAGGCACGCATACACAGAGGCATGCACACACACAGATACATACACACAGGCACACACACAGGCATGCGCACACAGAGGCATATACAGGCATGCATACACACATATATATACAGACACAGGCAACATACACACAGAGGCATGCACACACACAGACAAATACACACAGGCACACACAGGCACACACAGGCATGCACACACATATACATACACACAAGCACACACACAGGCATGCACACACACACATACATACACAGGCACACAAAGAGGTATGCACATATACATACACATACAGGCTTACATACACACACATATATAGACACACAGACACACAAACAGGCATGCACACACACATACAGGCACAGACACACATAACACAGGTACACACACAGGTATGCACACACACAGTAACACACACATTCACACTCATGCACATGTGCACACACAAATGTATCTAAAAGGCGAGCCAACACAAACTATATCTGCGTGTTTGCTTCTATGTACGACATACAAGGAAAGATGTTCAAAATATGGCTGGAATGCTTGCTTCAACTTCACCTGCTTCTGCACACACTGATACTGGGGCTCCATGGAGAGAGAGTTCACACTCTGTAGAAGAAAGGACACCAAGGGGAGTGAGGACTCTGGGCAGCAGCAATGACTGCCTGAGGAACGCCAAGCTTCTGTCAGTCTTAATTCCATTACTCAGTTGGGGGGAGTCCTCGAAGGTCACAGACTGCTCAAAATCTCTGCCCTTTTTCCTGAACCCTAAGTCTTAAGGGAGAAAAGACAAAACTGAAACACAGGGTAAAATGTGGCTTTAGTTGTCCTGGACTGAACTGTAACTGTACTGGGGGTGTCAGCAGCTGCCTAGGGGATTGCCAAGTTCACTCCCTGGAGTGAACACAGATCTGAACCACCAGGAAAAACTAGAGGCCAAGCTACAGAGAACAGTAGCCTACTTACACACTGGGGATGGGAGAAGCCTGAGGCCAGAAGGTCCCTAAGTGAATGCTGCTTGGGTATTTTACAGGCCCTGGGTCCTCATCCGTCCACTATGGATCCTAATACCTGCCTTCCTGCCATTTCTCCTCCCAGAGTCTCTGGGAACAAGGGGCCGCCATCAGGAAGCCTGCTATAACCCTGCTTTAGAATCATGAATCAATGGTCTCTGCATTCTCATACAGAAAGGCCACCCAGGAAAGGACCTGTGTGCTCACGGTCCTTCCTTGCCTCTGGCTTGCAAAAGGCCACCGTCATGCTGTCCTCAGGAAGACCTCTAAGACTCCCCTCCTCGAGAACTCCCCTCAACACTCCCCTCAGTGACTACACAGGGAAGGCCTGAGCAATCGAGCTGTGACCCAGCACTGCCAACCTCTGCCACACTGTCACCACAGGCACTGGGCCCCAACTTGTCCCTTTAGCCAACCGTACCTGTGAGGCTTAGAGTTTACTTCTTGACAGCCAAGGAGTGACCTGAAATGGAAGACGCCAGGAAATCCCTATAGCTTCCCGCTCTGCAGTCCATCGTCACTGACACCCATTCCTTCCCACTGATGTTTATTCATAGGGAATGTCAGGTGTCACTCAGACTGTGTGTCTGTCCATGGCTCCTCACCACCTAGAAGCCACCTCTGCTCCCTGTGCTGGGCTGGGAACATGGAGATGCTTGTCACAGTTCACTAGTGTAAGGAAAGCAGGGGAAGAAACACTAGACACGTCACCGTTTCATAGAAACCGTCCAAAGCCTGCAAATGATTTCACTTAAGTCTGTTTATTCCAACCTCAGTAAAACTGCAGCTGGTACACCCTCCATAGGAGGGAATCATGTGATCCCAGGAGATCAGGAAAACGAGGTTAGTAAACTATGCAGGATCTCAGCAGAAGCCTGAAGAATCCTCAGCTCCTCTGTCCGCAAAGCTTCCACCAAAGCGAGCTGACGTGTCAGCGGTACTTTCTCTTCCTTCATGTCAGAAACCTGCAAGTTATTTTTAAATTCTTATTAAAATAGAAATGTTTTATAAAATTTACCATGTAAACTGTTTTGAGGCAGTCAGTAGCTATAGGCGGTAAGTCCCCACCTCCAACCCTCCCCCACATAGGGTAACCACCCCACCCCAGCCCCATGTGGAATAATCACCCCACCCCCATGTGGGATAGCCACGGCTACAATTCACTCCAAATTACTTGTTCAATCCCAACAGAAACTCTCTAAGGATGAATGTGTGAGCCAGGTGCCCCCCGCCCCCCCCCCCCCCCACACACACACAAGCCCTGGGAATTGCCTGCTCTGAGGAATCTCTGTGTGGACAGCACCTGTCCTTTTATATTTTTATTTTCACAGCATAAAAGTACATTAAAATTTTTAATTTTAACAATCACATCTTATAAATGATTTCTCATTAAAACAAAAAAAATATAAAATTAAAACACACATAGAAAAAAATACTTGAAAAGCTGTTACTAAGAAACCAGGCAATGATTTCTATCTACTAAAACATGAGGTAAAAATTAAGAATCCGCCTAAGTACCCAGTGATAAATGAATAAAGAAAATGATAATGTATCCACACAATGGGTACAGTTGAAACAGAATCAAGGGCAGGTGTCCGGCCCTGGGTTTCAATCCCAGTATCACAAAAAAAAGGACAGGGAGCAGGAGACCCTCTTTGTGACATCAGGAACAAGGCAGGAGGGCACAAAGTCAAATGAGATAAACCAGAACCTCCATGTTCTTTCTTTTGACTGCAGAAAGAATGTGGACACCACGTGAATAGAGGTGAGACTGTGGGGACGTCCATCAAGAGACAGAGCTTAGCCAGAGAGGAGAGAGCTCTCTGGACAGTAGCATGTGGCCACAGTTAGAAACAAGACACACAGTGTACATCAAACATACTGTAAGACCCCTCATCATTAAAAAGCAAAGTGGATAAGTCATTCCACAAGATGTGCAAATATCAAAGCACCACTGTGCATTGTACACTGTATATAAGGCTTGCAGAGGGATGCGCTGGCCATGCACGCACACGCAGAGCCTGTGTGCCTCTACTGCTTTGATGAGGTCTCTCACTTAACCTGGAACTCCCCACTAGGCTAGGCAGGGCCAGTGAGCCTTCATAACTGTCCTGGCTCCACCTAACTCCAGTGGTCTCTGCCTATCCCCAACCCCAGGCACAGCACACAGGCTGCCATCCCAGCTCGTACATCAGTGCTGGGATCTGAGCTTGGGTGCTCACACTTGCACAGTATGCCACCATCTCCCCAGCACCACTTACCTAACTGTTAAAATGTAAATCTGTTAACACAGTCTAACGTAGAGATTATTAAACGTCTGCTCATTGGAGATTCTTAAGACTTCCTAAGAGCAGGCATGGTAAGCAGCACAGGACCGAAGCCTTGTGCCCAAGCAGCACCAGGAAGCATCTTAAGACTTCCTAAGAGCAGGCATGGTAAGCAGCACAGGGCTGAAGCCTTGTGCCCAAGCAGCACCAGGAAGCACACCTTGTGCAGCACAGCGTGAGTCTCCTCCATGAAATCAGAGCACAGTTTCTGGGCCACGCCCAAACTCGTCTTCTCATTTGTATCAGAGATTACTTCACCAAGGAGCACCTTCTTCCAGCATGCACTAGAACCAAAATATTCAGTAAGTTCCTCTCAGCAGGGCCCCAGGGTACCTGAGGTAGCACTCACGATGCAACATGACACATAGCAAGTCCCTGTTCTTCCTGAGCACTGAAGCTCGGCTCCTAACCCTATGACGTCATTCAGCTCCTGAGTGGAAACCACCAGCACAGAGGAAGAAAGAGGAGCCAAGAGTAAATCAAGGAGGGCCAGCTAGACTGCTCCTTGCCAGCAGTGACTGGATTCTACTTTCATGGCAATCCTGGGTCTGGTGTACTGGAGCCACACCCACCAGCTACAGGGGCACAAGAGGCAGAGAAACACAGAACAGGAAGGCCAGGCTCTGGCAAACCGCCAGAAGACTCCGCAGCTGAGGTACTGTATGCCTTTAAGGGAAAGTTTTTCCTAAAAGGTGACAACCAAGAACACAGCTCACTGCCAAATGACCTCCAAATGGCAGGAGTCTGCAGCCACACCATTCTCCACACCCAGGTGAGTCACTTACACTGCCTTGGCTTGCAGAGGTGAAGGCTTTGGGAGAAGATGAGCCAGTGTTCTGCAGTCAAAAGACCACAGGACTGTCAAGACAGCAACCAGGAGCCAAAGGTTTCAAAGCTAGAAGGGGGTCAATGCTAAGTCCCTCTACTTGGAAGAAAGGATGGAAGAGCGACTGGAAACCAGGCAGGAAACCTGGGTGTGCATGGAAGTGGCTTAGAAGAGGGAGGTCAGACGGCTGCTGAATATGTAAATCCAGAGTACACAGGCAGACAGACAGTCCCAACGGGACTCAGGTAACAGGCAAGCATCCACTTCAAAGCTGATAGCTCAAAAGTCAGGATGTGACTTATCACCCAAGAAAGCCAAGGGTTGCAGTGTACTTGAGTGTGTCAGCTATAATGAATATCTAATTTAATCTTCATAATTCCCTACAAATAAATCACACCATCCCATTCAAAGAAAACAAAACTGAGAAGGTAAAGGTCTTAGTCACAAGGCAGGGCAGAGAGGCAAAGGTGGCATACACACCCATCAGCCAGAACCCCACCATGTCACTCACATGAGTGAACCCAAGGGAAGTCACTCTGGGTGATCTCTGCAGCAGTGGCTGCTTTAGCCCGAAAAGGGAGCACACACACCTCGTTCCCACGGGGTCCACACAGAGCAAGTGAACAGTGAGCGACTGGGAGAGCCAGGCAAAGGGAAGAGGGAGGAGGAAGACAAGAACCCGAGGAGCCACGCCCTTCCTGCCCTCATGCTGTGTGCCAGGCTGACCACAGACCGTCCTGGGCTCTCTAGGGAACACCACAGGAAGGAGGCACACTATGCTATTCTGTCATGGGCAATTAGTTTTTTAAAAATTAATTCCCATGTATGTGACTCTTCCTGGTGCAAATCTGTGCTGTCCAAGAGTCAACTATATTTCTGGTATTAAGACCAGGGAGAAACTTTGCTCCGATGTCCCAGGGGCAACAGTGAGAAATGCTTGTACAGACAGCAGGCATCACAAGTCAGCGCCGTGCTGAGACGGTTCTTCCGCCCAATGGACATTTGCCCAGCATACGAGCAGCAGCAAGGTGGAAGCTGTGTCCTGTCCTAACCAATCCCAGGCCTGGAGGAGCCCCTGTGCTGACCAGAGCACAGCCATGCAGGTTGACAGGCAGCTCTGGGACGTGACTGGCAGCCCTAACCCCTTAGAAAGGTTAAGGAGCCTGAGCAAGATGAAGGTCTACACTGGGGTTCTTCTACCCCACTCCTCTCACAGAGAAGGCCTTCAGTGGGGCTGGTTAGGACACGGTTAGACAGGGCGTGGTTAGGAGCTTGCTTACCACAGGAAAAGCTCACCCACTCACAGGTGTACCTCTGGACAGTACTCAGCGCTGACAGTACTCACTCAGAACAGTAAGCACAGGTCACCAGGGGGATACCTGGACAGAGCGCAAGTTCTCAGAGCCATGAACTCTGGAAGACTAAGGCCACTCAAGGCAGCAAGGCACAGCCCGCTCCTTCCCTTTAAATTCGAGCCTCCCAAACCCCTTCTATTTTCCCAAGAAGCAGGCACAGCTTGTATGTAACGGGGGAACTTACAAGTGCTTGGCTTCCAGACACAACAACTTGAGAGCCGTGAGCAACCGCCAAGATGGTCCATCCCATCCAAACGTCAAATTTCTGCAGGAGCAAAGCAGGCAACACCAAATGTGTCACTTAGAAGTGACTCCATGGCAAACAACTAAGGAACCTACTGGCTTTGAAGAGATGCATTATTAGGTCACCTCCACACAGGGGCAGGGAAATCAGGCTGCGGCTGCTACGGTTGAAGCTGGGGTAACACAACAGTCTCTGTGTGGTTCATTCCACACAAGTGGAATCTGCTCGGACTAGTCTGGGCTACAGTGGCTAGTTGATGTCAACTTGACACAAGAGTCACTGGAAAGGAGGGAACCTCAACTGAGGAAATGCCTCCCTAAGATCCAGCAGCAGGGCATTTTCCTAATTAATGAACAATGGGGGAGGGTCCAGCCCACTGTGGGTGGAGTCATCCCTGGGCAGGTGGTCCTCCTTCTAAAGCAAAGCAGGCTGAGCAAGCCATGAGGAGCAAACCAGTAAGCAGCACCCTCCATGGCCTCTGCAACAGCTCCTGCTCCAGGCTCCTGCCCTGCTTGAGTTCCTGTCCTCACTGTGATATGGAAGTGTAAGCCGAATAAACTCTTTCCTCCCAGACTTGCTTTTGGTCATGGATTTTTATCACAGCACTAGTAACCCTAACTAAGACAAAGTTAAAAGCTATTTCCAATCAATTTCAGCAAGACATTGAACTTGGTTTAGGGGACAACAGCAAGAGGCCTGGTAACTACATCACACATTTACAGTGAGATGAACTTGGAGAGGTCCTAGTCATCCCAGAGGGCAAACACAGCCACTGTCGCTATATACATAAAACCTGACTTTATCTAAAAAAGAAGACATGAAAGGGTGAGTGTGGGAATCTGGTGTAGTTCACTGTCCCTGATTTGTACCTTAACACCAGCTGATGGGTTCTGCTAAGCCTATGATATATGCATAGCCTATGACAGTGCAGCACCACCCGACCTGACCCTGGCCTAGATCACACACAGGACTGTTCCAAGCTTGACTCTCACATTCCCAAGCAAGAGTCTTCCAACCCTTGAGTGTCTAGGACAACAAGCACAACTTTACTACAGTCTAAGAGCTTAATAAATACCCACCCGTCAGCCAATACAGGGGCAGATGAATCACCCCTACTGAAACCAGAGCCAGGAGTATTTCCATGGAAATTCCCTAAAGGGATAATTTCCAGACAGAAAAACACTTACCCTGTAAAGCCATGATCCTTCAAAATGGCTATCTTCTTGTGGACCTGCTTATCTGCTGGCGGGAGGTACTTAACCAGCATGTCTACATTAAAGAGAGAAAACCAGCAGAGATTTAGGATGTAATTCAGATAAAGCACATGTACCCTCTCTCTCCTTCAGCTCTCTTTCCCTCCCATTAGCCACCCAGGACAACAAGACCGTCTCCTAATTCACACCAAGTGTCCTCTCTTGGGCAACTCGCTGAGATCTCAGGTCCCTAAAAAGCTGTGAGCTTTCCAAGGCGGGTTCTGCCTGAGAAAAGTGACTGCTGCCTCTGGGGGCTCTTCCCATTACAATAGGAAATAACTGTCATCGGCCAGTCCAACCTCCTGAGACAGGAACACAGGCATGAGGATTGTGGGAGGACACAAAGCCATATTCGAGGAGCAGCCGCTGGTTATCATGGGGGCCGTAGCAGATGAACACCTCCTGGTGCTTCCTACAGCGTGAGGCTGTTCTAATCTCATAGCACTTGGTCTTCTCGTTGAATGCTGCTTTTACCTACAGCGGAAACGTATGAGATTCCTCTTTTTAACACAGGTCTAAACGGCTCACCAAGTCACCATGGTAACCACAGTATGAGGCAGTGTGATGTGTTTGCAATGAGTCTCCCACGGACTGAGAACTCTACCTGCACTTCAGCCTGTTCCCTCCTTCATCTCGCCCTTACCCAAGTGAGGGAGGAACTCCAGTAACGGTTCTGAAAAATGACCAAGCGTGACATCTGACATGAGCTGACTTGTCACAAATAGCCTAAGGGAAGAAACTATGGCAGTAGGAAGACCCACTAGTTGTCAGCAGTTGCAAAGGCTTCACCAACTGTGTGGCCTTGATCAGGGGTTTTTACGTGTTTATAGTCCTTTAAGGCAATAAAGGTCTTCTGTAGCTCAGGACCCCCAGGCTCCCACCAACTATGGCTGTGGTTGTCTATGGTCATCTATAGAATCACTCAGGTACAAAACGTTCACAAACACACCAATAAAATCAAAGTGAGGCTGTGGGGGACTGACTGAGTCCCTCTGTCCAGCCTCATGTGCTCTATGTGCCCAATGTCACTGCCTGGGTCGGTGAAAGGCAGCACTCAGCACAGGGTGGCAGGCCTGGAGGGCAGTGCAGTGCAGAAGCACAGCAGACGTTTGCTGCAATGACATCAGGGGAGCATGAAGGTCAATGGCCCGGCACATTTATCTGAAGCAGGTTACACCTCCACTACCATGCCAACCTTGACTCAGAATCCTTGTTTCTACATGGCGGGATTATACAACAACAGGATCCGATTCCATGCCAGCCTCTCACCTGGACATGTGGACTGTGATTCAGCAGATCCAGGAACGGAGCAAGCGCACACGTGTCTGGCTCTGCGGAAAGGCACTCCTGCCTTCTGGACCTCAGGTACACAGCTCTGGTGTTCACCGTGCACCAGGCCCACAGGAAGGCGCCGTAGCTGAAAACGCTGTCCACTGACTCTGCAAACAGAGGCTGCAGGGTAGAGAAGAAACCTCTAGAGGAGGCAAACAGGTCCTGCACTCGGGCTCTCTGCTCTTCCGCCTTCACCTTTAAAGGTCTGGGAAGAAGATCTACCACTTCTGGCTCCAAACACACCGGACAGGTGTATGACTTGGGTAAAATGTCCAGGTAAGACTTCCAGAGGGATTGACTGCCTGCGTGCTTTTCTGAGACTAAAAAAGTACACAAGGCCAGCAGAGGAGACACAGGAGGCTTCCACCTTGTAAAATAAGAAGACAAATCGGAGGAATTAAAGTGTGGACTCAGTGGGATTTGCCTCCGAGGGGCTGTGTTCCAGCTGTCAACTCTCCACCCATAACACGGGCATCTTCCCAAGGGTTTTACCTCTCCAGAGCAGCCAATTCTGTGGCTAGTCTGTAAGATTCACTTTGGTTTAAATAATAATAATAATAATAATAATAATAATAATAATAATAATTTGTTTCCACCTGGTTCTAGCTTCTGGGGTTTACATTGTAAAGATAACTAACACAGGGGCACAGAGGAGAGAAAGAGAGCCCGCCATCCAACACAGTGAGTGCTGGCTCACGTGACTATTTCAATGTAAACTATTTATAGTTAAGTAGTGCTTAAAACTCATTCTTTAGTAGCACAAGGCACACTCCAGCTACTCCACAGGCATCTGTGACTCCAGGATAACGCAGAACAAAGCATCCCCACAGCTGCCAGCTGAGTTCTACTAAACAGCGCCACCAAGACAGCCGGTGGAGTCCTCAAGCTTCCTCTAATACAAACTACGTAGCTGCTGAGTAATGACTCACAGTTCAGTCCCTACGGCACAGACAGACTCAGAAACATTGTTGTTACTCTTCACAGCCCCAATTCCCGTGTTACCACACACTGTACTAGCAATCTCTGAGTGACTCAGAGAATAAAGACCAAAGCATCCTTACCTCTGCACAGGCACACCCGGGGGGGTTGGGGGGTCACAGAGAGCTGGGGGAGGGGGTATCCACTTGGGTTAAGGTTCAGCACCTTCTTTGAACCCAATGTAGAAATAATTTCTGCTGAGATTCTCCCTCACTCTGTCCTCAAGGATGCTCCAAAAATCAAGGCTCACCACCTTAAGCCCAGAACATGGCTCTCAACCTACTGTACCTATCCTCCTTCATTCCTGCCTAAAGCTCTTCCCTAACGTCAAATCTGTTCAAAGTTGAAGAAGCCATGAAGGCATAATAGGGTGAACCTGGGACAGCGAACTAGCATCTGCCAGGCTTTCTAGGGTAGAAGGAAACAGTCACACTGTTGTCATGTACACCATCCCATTCCACGCTTACTTTCTAGTAAATAGGGGACAGGGTTCACACCACATCCCAGGCAGCCTAGAAAACCTTAGAAATACAGTTCACACGGAACTAAGAACAAACCTGGAAGAGAATAAACCTTTCAATTGTACTAAGTATGTCTTGGCTAGCCAAGAGCTGGGTCCTCATGCCCTGTGCTGCAGATGGCACAGTGCTGACAGGCACCAGGTGCAAGGTGTGGTCACTTACTTCTTAATGTAGGGCCCTACGGAGCTTCGAATCACAGTGTCCGTGGTGAGCAGACAGCTCTCAGGCAGTGAGATAATCACCTGGCCCTCCTGGCCAAAGAGAAAGTAGAGTTTAGGACACCTCGGCTTTGCAAACGACCTGAGACTGAGGTCTTTAAGCACCGAATCCCATCATTATATACCAAGAGCCCCGGCGTGCAGACAGTGCAGCTCTGGCTTGCAACACTTCAGAGAGAAGCACAGACTGTATTAGGGCCACTCATGAGATAGATGTGGAAGTAAAACCTCTGCTTTACCAGGACAATCAACGATGATTAGCATGGGCTAAAAGGTTAGCTCTGATTAACAAAACACCAGCATCATGGAGATAAAATCTTCTGGGGGCACTTCCTCAGGGTTGGCACACAGAAGCTGGGTCCAGCAGGGGAACGAAGGCTGCACATCAAGCTGACAGCAGAACATGGTAAACGATGTGTCAGTGTCTGAAGGCAGGAAGGGATCATGAAAAACAGCTGAGGCTCGGCACTGAGACCCAGGAGAGATCATGGTGAAGGTGCAGCCTCAACTGCAGAGGAGATCCCAGGATACTGGAGATGCCAGCACCATGAGCTGACCACGAAGGACAGCAACAGGAGTAGAGTGGAGCTGGCCTCAGCCTACAAGACAAGCTGTGTGTGTTATGGATGGCAGAGCCCAGAAGATCACGAGTGAGCTCCAGGCACCAGACAACGAGCTACAGAATAAGAGGTACAATGTAGGACTTAAGTTTTGATTAAGCATGATGTGTCCTCGGCCTTGGTCCTTCTCTTCTAGAGTAAGAAAGCTTTGAACTTGTTTTTCTAAGTCTCAAAGATTTTGTTTATGAAACAAATATTCTCATGGCATTTGACAGAACTCAGAATCTCTTTGAAAGGGGTCAAATCTATAAAACTAAATCAGCCAGCATAAAGTACTTTTAAAAAGAAAAAGAATTCAAACCACCAAAAGGTACACTATATATATATTCACAACAAATATAAAAATGGAAGCCAATGGAAAAAGACAACTAAGTAACAGATGTGCGAACTCTCGGGGTCTGTCCACATTCTTTGTTTACTGCACACCTCAAACAGGTCTGAGGAGTCAGAATGGTCCTGCAAGACTTACTTAGAAGGTAAATAAATCATGAAAATCTGTTTAAATGTCTTATAAATAATATTAACAAAGATGGTCTCAGTATTGTGCCTTGCTTCAGCCTCCTCCTCAACCCCGCAGCACATGGATGCCTGCAGCCTTCTCTGAAGTTGTGCTCCCACTTTACGACACTATGATCTATACAAGTGTTACCTGAGGGAAAAGAAAGAACTTAAGAGGATGAGTAAAGTCCTTCAGCTCATTAACCCCAATTACACACCATTGCTGTATTTGATAATTCACCTTTCCAAGTGTTATTCCAAGTGACAGTCTACCTCAGTGAGGTTTCTAATGCACAGTAGGAATGTTTACCTCTTGCATGACGAGTTATTTCCCTAAGTGGATTTTTCCTAAACAGAGCTGCTCCAGGGAAGGATCATTTCTTACCTAAAGTGTCCAGACCCCAAAAGAAACTATTATTGTCTGTGAAAAGACAGAAATGCCAAGTAATCTGAAGGATTTGTTCATTTAATTACTTATTTTTGAGCCTAGGTCTCTCTATGTAGCTAGCCCTGGCTGGCCTAAAACTCACTCTGTGGAGCAGACTGGCTTTTAACTTCTAGATCCACCTGCCTCTGCCTGCATAAGGGTGTGCACCACCATACCTAGCCTTAAGCTTCCTGAACTTGCCATTACAAACACTACCATCCTCCACAGAAAGGCAGCGCTGAACTAAGAATGTTCTCAGCACCTCAGAGCTCCTGGACACTAAGTTCAGCTTTGGCAGGCCACATTCCTCACGGGTGTGCCAGCTCTGAAGAACAATCTTGCAGTAGTTCTTCACATCCTCATACAAAGCTCCAGTTTGTGAATGAGCCAAGGGTAACACTTTTTCATTCGTCAGCATCTGAACTTGGAATTCTTTGCCAGTGTTAGCATTCTCACAGTGGGAAAGCACAAATATTAGGTCTGAGGCATACGGTCTGTGACAGGGGAAGTTATGAAGGACTCGATGCTCACAATCTGTTGATGCTCACAATCACTCGATGCTCACAAGCTGTTGGGCTAATTGTCTTTGCCCAGAGCATTGGACGAAGGGTCTGCACCTGAGCAAACTGGAGAATGCCTGGAGAAGCCTTTGCTTCTGCTTAGCTGCTGAGTCCAAGGGCTGCAAGGGATCCGTAAGCAGGGAGCAGCTGGATGGGCTAGTAACCGCTGCACATCATTTAAATACCCCATGACCTCTGCATTGTCTGTGTGCAGACAGCACACCAGGGAGGTCCAGCACCTTTAACTGGCAGGTTTAACAGACATTTGAAAAGCTGCCTAAGTCTCATTTAAACTATCAACTGGCATTGGAAAGCACCTGCATTTAATGAACTGTGTGTGCTGCATTATGGATCCAGTCGTAAAGGCCTGCACCTGATGAAGAGCCGTGGCATTCCTTCCACTTCAGTGAAAATCTTCTTCTCATAGAGACCAAAGAACCTCATCATCTGCCATTCATTCTTGGAGAGCCACCCTCCCTATCTGTGACACTGGGTGACAGGAGGCCCATGAGGAGGTGCTGCCATGGCTCCTGCCATACAGAGAGCTGCTGTGCAGAGGTGCTTGAAGGGGTGCCCAGCCACAGCAGGCCATGGTTCCCCCAGCTAGAGAGGTCTAGAGAGCAGCCAGGCTCAGTGCCAGCTGTCACATGACATGGCCCTGCTGTCCTTCTCCAGCAGCCATCCAGCCCTCTTCTCACAGCCCGGCGCTCTGCCCACCCCAGCCCTGCCTCTGCAGCTGCCTCAGCTTATGGACCTGCTTCCCAGCGGGACACCAGAGTGCCACAGTGGATGAGGATGACCACAAGCTCCAGGACTAGTCAAGGCTCCACAGGGTAAGGGCCACCAGAGACAAGATGATATTTTTGTGGAGAGTCTTCATGCCCAGAATAGAGGCTGAACACCAAGACCAGAGTCCCTGCACTCAAGGAGAAAAGCAGGCAAGGCCGAGAGGCAGCTGGGGAACAGGAGCACATGCCTGGAGGGGATATCTTAACCTAATTTCCAACTTTTAAAGTTTCAAGGCTGTGACTGTTGTACTACAGTTTATACCATGGCATGACCATGAGATCTTGGAGATGAACAGGCAAGGAGAGTTATGGTTTAATGACAACATATTTTTATGTAAGGCTGATAAAGGGTTCAACTATACTGGTTAATTTTTGTCAGATTAAAACAAACTGAAGTTACACAGGCCAAGTAGGCCTGAACTGAGAGACTGCCTCCATCGGACTGGCCTGTGGGCATATGGGTGGGACACATCCTACTGTGGTGATATCACCCCTGAGAAGGTACAAGAAAACAGGCTGAGCAAGCCATGAAACCCAAGACCCTAGGAAGCAGCATTCTTCCATGGTCTCTGCTTCAGTTCCTGCCTTCAGGTTCCAGCAAATGCTCCTGACCTGACTTTCCTATGTGATGTACAATAACTCACCCCTCCGCAAACTGCTTTTGGTAAGTCTTTTAGCACAACAGAGAAAAGACTTGAACAGGCTCATTGTAATATCTGTAACTATAATACATATCAAACTATACATTAAAGATCTACATACATCTCACCCCACACAGCACACATCTCTTTCAAACAGTTTCATAAAAATACATATTTCAAAGTACACATGGCAGGTGCCACGGCGTGAATTCGAGGCCAGTCTGGGCTACATAAAAAAAATTAATTAAAAAAAAAAAAAAAAAACCTGTCTCCAAAAATGGATGAGAGGAGAGGAAAGAGAAAAGCCATGGTCAAGGTCCACTTGTCCACTTCACGGTCTAAGCACATCAACAGTGCTGCGTGTGGGCCAGCTGTGGTTCACCTCCCATGCTCTGCTTTGGAGCAAAGTCAGTTATGATAGGCATGAAAAACAGAAACACTCAGGGGGTAGAGCACTTGCCTTACAGGCCTGGCGTCCCGAGTTTAGTTCCCCAGAGCTCGTGTGAGGGTGGAAAGAGAGAACCAACTCCACCGAGCTGCCCTCTGACCTGCACATATGCAGTGGCATGTGACCCACACACATGCATGTCACAAAAACACACACTAATAACTTATTTTAAAAATGATTTACCTAATAAAAAGTAGAAATACTGCACACTGGCATGACACTGCTTACTAGTACTGAACACTTAAAAGTAGTGATATGGTAAATAAAAACAAAATAGCATTATAAAATCACAGCACAGAAATGGACATTCTTTTGGCTAAACATACATACAGGACTAAGTTTAAACAAATTAAGTTAAGGAATTTAAAAATAAACTTAGGGGCTAGGCTGTAGCTCTGTGGTACAATGTGTGCTTCGTGTGGGTAAGACCTTGAGTACAAACACCACCATAAAAATTTTGTTGAAAAATAAGTATATGTGATTTTAAAATAAAGAAATTAATTTGTAAATTTTGAGACCACTGTATACAGGTTAATGTTTTAAAATATCAAAGAAAAAAAACAAAAAAGGGTCCATGGAGATGACCTACATCACGGATGTCACTCTCCAGGAAGGAACTCAGCTGGAGGACTGGAGTCAGGCTCTGGACATCATGTTTCCGCTCTAACAAGAGCAGCTACTGCCAACATCCCTGACACAATCTAAGCTCTAACGTGCTGTGGCACACTCAGTGCACTAATGAAGCTGTCTCACTCACAGGGCACAGGGCCAGAGAAAAGACAGCACACCCCTGCCTGGGCGGCCACTGGGGCTGGACTATCCTTAGAAGAAGAGGCACGAAGCCTGCACTCCTGCCTTGTTCCCTCACAGAGGCTTAGGGAGTAACAAGGAGCTGGAAGTACACAGGTTCTCTGAGGAAAGGTCGTCTGTCCCCTCCATGCTTGTCTAAATGCCACATTAACTGCAATCTGTGTCAGCAGCAGGACTTCAATGTCTGTTACACAGCAAACTCAAGTTTCCTGGGCCAAACACACCCATTTAGTAAGTGGGGAAAGGCTACATATTTGATTCAACTGATGTCAGTGAGCTTGTGCACGCGCGCAGATAAAGGATACAGGAAAAGTCCTCACCTGCAATGACGCTTTGCTCATCAGTCCTCTTCCTGTTCCTAGAAGAACCGAAACATGGAGGGTAAATCCTACTGCACCTTGCAGATCCTGGTGACCCCTTACACACTCAACATCTCTTAGCCTCTCCCTCCCAGAGAAGACGGAAGCAGAAAGCTATTCTGAAAAATGACCTGGCCTCTCTGCGGTTTACATTCCTTGAGTGAAGCCGGGTCCGGTCATAACCTAAGGACCTCGACACAGGACGATGCTCACACTGCTCTCCCAATTGCCAGTGGAGAACTCCATGTACAAATGTAAGGCCCCCAGAGTGGGGAGATCCCCACTCAAGCCACAGGAGATTACGACTACCCAGAATCACGCGAGAGACCGAACTTGCTGCAAACCACAAAAGGCTTTATTTCCAGATTTCGGGATATCAGCCAGCTGAGGCCAAGGCTTGCAAGAAGAGCATCGACCCTGAGGCTCGGGAGCAAGGGGTATTTAAAGAAGAAAACCACAAAGTAGGGGGATGAAGGGAGTGAGAGGGAATCATAAAAACATCAGCAGACAGTATCATAAAACCAATGGAAGGTCCCCAGGCCATTTGATCATGTGGGAAACACACCCTGTGTACTTATTTTTTTTTTAAGAATTTAATCTTGTTTAATCATCTATCATGGGGCCAGCCAGTCCTTGGAACAGCCCAGATGACTGGTATTTTCTTTATGGTCAACCAGTTCCTAGAACCCAGAGCCCAAAGCCTATGAACCAGATGACCTGCATTCTTGGCTCTGCCCTTTTGTAGTCAGCTAAGTTCCTCGAGCACGGATGGCCTAGCTTTAGCCTCTATATGCCAGGGGTCTCACAAAAGGTTTATTCTTTTCACTAACCTAGGAACGTAACTTACTGCCCATCCTCTGGCACATGAAAATACAAAGTTAAAGATCCTGTCCTTGGCTGGCAAGGCAGGTCACACTCATAAACCAGCAGAGACCTTGACATTCCTGTGATGTCAGAAACAAAGCGGGTGTTGGTCCTGACAACTGGAGCCAGGGAAGGGGAGACTCTTCATATTACTGACTTATAACAGGAGCCAGCACAAAGCATTCCTGTGTTGTACTATAACTTCACACAGAACACTCTGTGAGGAGACTGCCCAGCAATCATCTGCCCAGCACTAGACTCACACTCTTTCTGTTGTCCTGTGGACAACTGTCCAGGGCTACAGTGCAACCCTTCCATGTCACCTTTAAACCCTCTGCCTCCCTGAACACATCCATAGTTCACGCTGGCCAAACATTCTGCCCCTATAATACCCTATGTTCAGCCTGGCAGCTCAGTCACTACGTGTGACTAACTTACCCGGAGCACCCTTTCGTACATCACCTCACTCAGCCAGAGACACGCTCGGAAGTCATTTACCTTGGGAGCTTTAAGACGTTAATTTATTCCAAATGAAGCTACCTAGTGAGCAGGGGGAAGAGCCAATAGCATATGCTTTTAGAGCTATGATTGTAGGTAGCATGCCCTGTTGTGACCCAGTCCTTTTGGAAAGCATCTTGGTGTGTTCCGTAGTTAACATCAACCCACCTTTGGCCTTGTGTGCAGGCACATGTCCATTGTGCACTGCCCAAGTTCAGAGAAATTGATTCCCAACTAATGTCAATTTAGCCCCCACAAGATGCTATCAAATGCCAGAGAAAAATGTTAACCTGCTTCAGTTTAGATGACTGGAAACCCACAAAGCTGCTCCTCCATGGGAGAAACAGATTCAAACGACCTAAGGGACAGTGTTTGCTGAGGCCCCACCAAGGGTTCCTCTCCTGGAGCCACACGCTACAGAAAAAGTAACACAACTGGTTGGCTGGGATGTCCCTCATCCTCAGAAAACTACTTACTTACTGTGCCTGGAACAACCCCATCTGCATGGTCCCCCAGATCCTACCACCTCAAGGGATGTGGTGGAGCATCAGATCAGTACGCAGTGCTGTGAATATGAGGACTCAGGCGAGGTCTTTCCCTCAGGCCGAGGCTCCAGGAAGACCCAAACGTCTGCTAAGCTGATAACACAGGCTTTTTTAACTTCAAGGCTGACCACTTGGCACTGGATAACCAATAAAGAAGCTCTTCCTTGGGAGAGGCTATGTCCCCTCCCAGCAGTGTTTAGCTGCCTGTAGTTCTTGTCCAGGGGTGGAACCCACAATACTTTGCCCCTTCCGATATATATATATATATGTTGACATTGCTATTGTTCCAGACTTGTTTATGCTGCCCTCTCCAGGAGAGACTTTCATCACAGACATCCAGTGCCTATACTCCTCCTTCACAGACGCAGATGCTGTGGTGTAGATGTCCCTATTGGGGCTGGGCTGCCATGATCTGTCAATCTCTGCATTGTGTCCAGCTGTGGTGTTCTGTGGTAGTTTGCTGTGAAGAGCGGTCTCTTCCATGAGGGCTGGTAGCTACACTTCCATCTGAGGATTTGAAGCTGGGCACCACAGATGAGAAGAACACTCACTGCTTATCTTGTGGAGTCCAGGTTACCTTACGCAACAGGGTCTTTTCGGGCTCACCCACTTACCTGCAAATCTCATGCTCTCATTTCCTTCCCAGCTGAGAATCCCACTGTGTGCACATCCACGCCGTCGCCGCTCATCTGTGAAGGACATTTAGGCTGTTTCATCCCCTGGCTATTGTGAATAGAGCGCAGTGACCATGGCTGAGTCCTGTTCTGTTGAGTCCTGTGGACATGTGCCAAGTGCGATAGCTCAGTCGTGTGGTAGATTCACTTTTAGCTTTCTGAGGATTCTCTATGCTGTTACCCTGAGCAGCTGACCGATCTGCATTCCCACCAGCAGTAAATAGGGGGATCTGTTTCTCCTCAAGGTCACCAGCGTTCCTTGCCAGGTGCTTTGTTGACGTTGGCCATTCTGACTGAGAAAAGATGAAATCTCAATGTTGCTCTCAATCTGCTTTTCCACAAATGCTGATGAAGATGAACACTTTCTAAGGTTTGCTTACAGACGCCTGGGTTGGGGTCACTGGTCCTGCCAGTTGTGTGGGCTCTTTACAGGTTGCAAAAATGATGTCCCTCGAGGTGCAGAAGACGTTATATCTTTCCCTCATTATTCTCCCTTTTTATTTTTTTATTTATTTCTGTTTTGAGACAAGGTCTCATTACATAGCCCTGGCTTCCCTGGAACTCACAGAGACTGGCCTGCCTCTGCCTCCCAAGTGCCCAGGACCGAAAGTGTGCACTGTTACACATGGCCCATGGCCTCACCTTATTTTATCTTTCTCCTTCTTCACATCTATTTTTTTTTCTCATTGTCATTTCTTTTTTGTTTGTCATGGACCACCTCTCTTTGGACAGTCAGATAAAGTACACACCAATGGTGACAAATCGAGTCCAATATACAGCAACAGATGTGTTTCTGGAAATGACACACCCCATCTTCCCGAGACTTCTGTTTCCAGGAATGACACCCCCACCTTCCCTGTGACTCTCACCTGGAAAGCTGGCGGGTACTAAGCCTGTATCTTCAAACTTCCTTTCTTTCAGCCATTTCCTTAGCTCTATAAATTCAGATCTGTAGCTCTCATTCACTGGTCGGAGAGAAGAGGATACAGCACAATTAACACCACTGGATCAACAGGCCAGCATATCAAGGGTATAAATCTGATGAAACAGATCTGACAAGCAGATCACAAAGGGAACAAATCTCTCTAAATATGAAAATGATACAAGCTAAACAGAAAAGCCATTCACTAAATGATTACTTCAATGCATGTGCAAAAACATTTGATAAAACCTAGTATCATCTGGTAAACATTACCAGCAAATGAAGACAGTTTCCTAACTTCCATAAAACACAGGGGCATGGTGGGACAGGAACAGGATGGGGTGGGCAGGGCAAGGTTGGGCAGGGCTAGAATGTCTGTAGCCATATGCTCCAGTCCCAGCACTGCCATCCAACCACATCAACAGTGAAAGCTAAGTGACCTCCTCCTAAGATCAGGAGCAAGGCAAGGCATAGTAACTATTTAACCAGAATAATAGCAGAAATATATAAAAACATCAAATAGGAAAAAAATCATGGAATATCTAAGAAGGCTATCAAAACAGCTACTAAATGACAAGTGAGTTTAGCAAATAAGATACAAACCAATACATAAATAATTGTATTTCTATATACTAGTAATAACCAAAATTCAAAAATGTTATTAATATGAAATTCTTAACAGACCCAAATATATATATATACATATGTACAGATATATTATATATATATATACATATATATATATATCAAAAGCTATAAACATGACTTCTAGATTTTATGTTTCTTTTTGTTATACGTTGAAGCTCTCGTGACATTTGGAAATGGACCCTGAAGTGCGTAACTGGGGTTAAAGTGACAAGGGTGGCCCTTCCATGATGGGACGGGTGGCCTTCTGAGAGGGGATAGTTCTCAGTGGTACAGCATGCACCCACCATGCATGAGGCCACAGATTTGACTCCCAGCGCCCTTCCCAACAAAAGTGAAGAGAACACAGGTTTCCTTGCCACATGAGGACAGGGTGAGAACCAAGCTAGCCACAAGCTGGGCAGACAGCCTTTTCCAGGAACCAAGATATCCAGACCCTGATGTTACATTTCTCAACCTTTCTATCACAGTTGTTCTGTTTGAGCTAGCCAGTACATGCTATTCAGTGAAGGTAGCCCACACTCAAACAGATTCTGATCAAGATGGATGAACATGGCATGGTGGCACAGACCTTTACCCCCAATACTTGGGAGACAGCAGGACCAGGAGTTCAAGGCTAGCCTCAGCTACTAGTAAACTCAGGGCTTGGGCTATAGTAAGACCATGGTTCACACTCGTAAAGAATGGATGGTTAAGACTTGAAACTATCAATATGGTAATAACTGGGCATATGTGTACATATATTTAGTAAGCTAGGCATGGTGGCCCACACCTTTAACCCCAGCACTCAGGAGACAGAGGCAGGCAGGCAGGCATCTGTCAGTCTGAGGCTAGCTTGGTCTATATGATGAGTAGAAGCAGAGTCAGGGATACATAGTGAAACTCTGTCTCCAAAAATATATATAAAAATATATAGTGAAGGGATGAAGAGATAGATGGCTCAGTGACTGAGAGAACTGACTGCCCTTCCAGAGGCCCCGGATTCAATTCCCAGCACCCACATGGCAGCTTCATAACTGTCTGTAACTACAATTCCAGGGGACCCAACACCCGTGCACAGGCATACACACAGGCAAAACACCAATGTATATAAAATAAAAATAAATTAATTTTAAAAGTATATAGTGAAAAAACAATTAAAAATTAAAATACCCATCTCATATAAAACACTAAAGGAGAAACAGAAAAACAAAAAGCAGATATTCAACGCAGAGAAAATAAGATAAAAAATGGCAGATGCAAGAAATCCACGAAAAGGTAGCATCCACCCAGGCTAAGGACAAGACCAAATTATTTCGCACCATTGATCAGAGACACTTATATTCAGAGAGAGAGAGACCAGAGCAAAGGGATGGACAGACAGAAGTAGAATCTCAGGGAAGAGCCACAGAGAATAAACTACAAACAGTGAGTAAAACACATTCATCCTCTCACAGCATGTAGCATTAACAAGTGTTCCTTAGGAACCACTCTCTTTGAACAATGTTCTGAGGAGCATCCTGTAAGCAGAGCCTCCTCCACACCCCACACCGTGTGAGCAGACCCTCCTCCACACCCCACACCGTGTGAGCAGACCCTCCTCCACACAGGGCTCCCTCCCAGGAGCAGCAGCCTGTACCTCCTCTTGAGCCAGAGCTTCGCCTTCGCCTCCGGACCCTCTCTGTTCTTCCTCTTCGTCTCTGCATGCTAACCCCAGAGCCTCTGTGTCGTGTTCAACTGAGAATGAGAGGCTCAGCCTTCCTCTCCAGCTGGATGAGAATCAAAGACCTTGGTGCCTTTGAATATACAAATACTTATTTTGGTGAATGTTTTCAGGACCTTTTTAAAAAAATATTTATTTATTTTACGTATATATGAGTACACTGTAGTTGTCTTCAGACACACCAGAAGAGGGCATCGGATCCCATTACAGATGGTTGTGAGCCACCATGTGGGTGCTGGGAATTGAACTCAGGACCTCTGGAAGAGCAATCAGTGTTCTTAACTGCTAAGCCATCTCTCCAGCCCCATGTTTTTGTTTTCTTTAAAAAAAAACAATTCTTTTCTTAAAAGCTTTGAACACCAAAGATTTTAACTAGTGCTCAATTGGGATCCTTGAAGTAACAGGTCCCCATTATGGGGGTTGGGGGGGGGCTCTAAAACAGTGGTTCTCAACCTGTGGGTCACAACCCCTTTGGAGTCATCTATTAGATAGTCTTCATATCAGATGTGTACACTATGATTCATAATGTAGCAAAAACACAGTTATGAAATAGCAAAATGATTTGTATGGCTGGAGTCACTATATCATCAGGAACTGTATTTAAGGATAGCAGCATCAGGAAGGTTGAGAAGCACTGCTCCAAAAAGAGCAAACAAAGCCATCTGGAGGCACTACCGACTAAACTCTCAGAGCTGTTTTCCTAGACATATCCTCTGTCGACTTTCAAAGCTCAGTCAAAATCTAGTACAGCCCCAGCTAACAGTGCTTAAGACACCGCTCAGGGGTGAGGTCACAGTGCACATACAGTGCACAGCAGATGAAGGCAGACATCCATGCACATAAAATAATAATGAATACAAAAAAATACACGGTCATTGCGAAGCACCCATCAGTTCACAAGTCTTAGAAAAAAATAAATAAGCCCCACCCAGTGTAGACACTAGGGTCTAAAGGTCAGTGTAATTAAATGGGCATTTGCAGTAGGCTAAAGAGAGCACAAGCCAAAGATGACCAGAAGACATAAAATGACTGCTCCATCCCACATTAGCCTCTCAAGGGCCAAAAAGGGAAGATCCAGGGAACAACAGTGTAGACCAACTGCAGAAATTAACAACAGAAACAAACGCAAGCGTTTTTGGAAGGTACATGCTAACATTTAAAACTACACACAGTAAGTACTGAGTAAAACTAAAGTTGAAGAAAACCCTAATTTAAAAGATGGAAGGGGGCAGCTGGAGAGATGGCTTGGTGGTTAAGAGGGCACTGGGCTCCTGCAGAAGATCAGGGTTCAGTTCCTAGCACCCACATGTGTAACTCCACTGCCGGGGGATCCAATGTCCTCTTCTAGCCTCCCTATATGGATGTGGTGCGCAGACATAAATGTAGGCAAAATAGCTATAAAAATAAGATAACATAAGGACCCTTTTGAGTCCGGCCTCAGAGCAAACAGAATGGCACGACTCTGAAACAAAACGCCCTAAAAAAACATTATTTGAAAGCATTCTTAAGAGGAGCCTTTCCTATTTGCGTCCTACCCTGCACCGTATAGGCGAATACAAAAGTGACATAAGTGACGTACACCTATTTAACATGTGCTATACCAATTGAAATGATTTTAAAAATCCACTTCTTTAAAAAAAAAAAAAATCGAGGGCAAAAAAGGACCGCCCGCCAAGCCGCCCAGGCAGTTTAATCTACCTCGCCAGGAAGACTTGCTTTACGAGTCAGTCTGGAGCCCACATGTGGTGCACAAGGACGCGCAGTTCCACTGCAGCCCTGTGCGCTGCTTGCCACCAGGGCCCCAGTGATGGCTACACGCGACAGCGCCGCCCCGCTCTCAGTGTGGAACAAACCCGGTATCACCCCACACCACCCGCAACAGCTAACAAACCCGGTCTCCGGGCCGCACACCGCACCTGCGCAGTAGTCGCTCCTATCTTGACTTCCGGTCTGGGGGACTGTTACTCGCTCGCACAGGAAATTGGGAGTCCGGAGCCACACAGAATTCAGAAAAGCCAACGGAATTCCGCACGGGTTACCCGGCAACGCCAGGCCCACCGGAAGTGCTCCTGCTTACCTTAGGAACCGCGGCGAAGTGGGTGTGCCGTCGCAGACCGCTCCCCTAGCAACGGAGAAAGCGGAAGCGTGTGGCGAGCCTGCGCCTCTGTCGTGCGCATGCGCAGTTCCCAGGCCTTCACCCCCTACAAGCCTGTAGCGTAGCTATTGATCCACGTCCAAAGAGCCAAGGGAAGGAAGTCTTCTTCGCCAAGTCCTTTCTTCCTCCGACTTCCTGCCCCTTCCATCAGGCTGGCTTACCTGGACCCCACCTTGCCCTGCCCTCCAGCAGCCAAGACCCAGGCATTCCATTATCCCAGACAGCCTGTCCCTCCCTTTCCTCTCATCCACTATGAAGGCATTTCTGTCTTGTCCCAAGACTGTTACTGGAATTGTTAGGGTCAAAGTAAAAGTAAGAATTAGGCTTATAGGAAAAAATGAAAGACGAGAATTTAGACGCCCTCAAACAGCGAGGAGCAAGCTGTATTCAGAGACGTGGGTTATCTAGTTCTAGCCATGCATGTCGAGAGCCGAGCACAGGACTCAGTCACATAAAGACCAGAGGTCAAGAAAAGGCACGTTTCATGCTTTAAGCTGGGGTTTTTTGTAGCAAAGGATGTGGAAGGGAGAAAGGTAACTAGCTAGGAACAGAATGAGGAAGTTAGCTGGTTTTTTGACACTACAGCGTCTGTTTTTGCAACCACTAGTGTAGGTATCAGCTGCTTTTTATTTCTGCAGTCTCCAAATAGCTGTTTGAATTCGATTTCAGGGTCTTAATTTTGGGGGGGAGGGGTTTAATTCCAGATCCTTTATATGTAAATGATAGGAAGTGACTTCTGTCAGGCTACTTCCTGCTGGCAGGGAGCATCCATCCTTTTCTAGGATTTTGGTCTAGGGTGACTCTAAAAGAAGTACTATTTTGACTTTGACGTGTTTGATGGACTGAGTGAAGTCAGTGAAATGATCCAAGAGAAATTTCTATTGACTGCTCTTCCAGAGGACCTGAGTTCAATTCCCAGCAACCACATGGTGGCTCAAAACCATCTATAAGGGGATCTGATGCCTCTTTTGGTGTGTCTGAAGACAGCGTACTCATATACATAAAATAAACAAAGCTTTAAAAAAATGTTAGGACTAGGCACATGCCTTTAATCCCAGCACTGAGGAGGCAGAGGCAGGCGTATCTCTGTGAGTTCATCACCAGCCTGGTCTACATAGCAAATTCCAAGACAGCCAGGGCTACACAGAGAAACCCTGTCTCTAGAGAAGATGAAGAAGAAAAGGAAAAAAAAAAAAAGGTTAAAAGGCAAAAAGGTAAAGGATGGGGAGGATAAAGAGGAAAGGCATGAGAATGGGGAGGAGCCAGGATGGAAGGGACACTGGATTATTCAGTACCTGGTCCCTGAGCCACTGGGCCTCATATGAGCCACCTTAGATTGCTTGGTGTAAAAACAGCATTGTTCCTTCAGGAAAGTGTAGATCCCTCTGTGGGATGCAGTGAGGAGGTCAATCCCCCACCATGGTGGCAAAGAGTCAAGTTCATCTTGAATGGCTTTGATCTGATTTGAAATGTCTTTAACAGATTGAGGCAGTTTCTAATGCAAGGTACAATAAACCTAGAAGGATCAGGAGGGCCTACCTTGGTCCCCCCCCCTCCAGTGGTCCTAATTGTCATTATACTCATCTGCAGCTCTGTTTCTTTAAGACAGCAGGACCTTCACAACTCTCAGGGTCCTTATATACCATGAACTACCCCTGAGTGTGGCTCTTGTACTGAAATAATTCAGTGAACATCTGTCTCACTCCAGCAACAGAAGAAAGGACCTGGTGGTATGGAAATTGCATACCAAATAGTCACTGGTATAAAAGAGAAAACCACAAACTGCTGTTATCCTGAATGACAAAGCAGTTGTCAAGATCATGCATTGTATGACTTCACCTATGTGACACCGCTGAGCACCAAGGAGAATGGAGGGGTGTCTGCTCAAGAAAAACTGACAAGAAGGATCCTGGTGCTTTGTGTCTTGACTGTGATGGCCACCAAACCTAAAATGCCAATGAAATCACATAAAATAAATAAATTTACCTGAGATCAAAAAAGAGAAGTCTGAATAGAATTGGAAGCTTGTCTTGCTGTTGATACATATTTTACTATAACTTTGTAAATGTGTATAATTTCAGTATTTCTTACAATTGCATGTGAGTCTCCAAGTACTTCCATAAAAATGTCAAGCGATGGGTGCTAGGGAGCTCAGCAGTTCAGAGCATTGCTTACTCTGATGCCCAGCACCCACATGGCAGCTCACAACCTTGTATGATGCTAGCCTGTGGGATCTGATGCCCAAAGCTCTCTTCTGGCCTCTAGGCATGCATATGGTATGCAGACATATGTTCAGTAAGAACACACATACATGGTTTTTGCCTCCAGTGATTACATGGGTTCCAAGGATTGAACTCAGGTTGCTGGGTTTCAAGGTCCTTGCCCTTACTTGCTGAGCCATCCCACCCTGGGCAGCCCGCCTTCTGATTATTAAGGCTTGTTAAACAACTGACTAGGAGCCTACTTTGAATGGAAAATAACAAGCAATCTATATGAGGCAATAGAATCTTTTGAAATGGAAATGTCTTACATCTGTTTCTTCTACTTTACTGTATTCCGAATACAATGACCCTCATGCACATACAGAGAGGTCTTCCTGTGCAGTCAGTATAATGAAAATATCTTACTTTAATCTAAATGGCCATTTGTATCTAATAGGAACCTACTGAACAGAGAGAAATGAAACTTGACCTGGAGATCCCTATTTCCAGGGTGTTAGGAACCAGTGAGGAAATTTGTTTCCCACTACTGAACCAAATGTAATTTTCTGAACAAACGGCATCATGTCATCTTAAAAAGGACTAAACAGTGCATCATGACGCTATTTTGAACACAGAAGAGCAGCTTTCCCTGAAGGCTCACACCTCTGTACACTTTGGTATTAACATCCAGGTAAGGCAAAGCTCTTGGAAATATCTAAAGGGCTACTCCAGGCTAGTAAGGAATGTTTCCTACCACAGTATTACCTATTAGCTTTGCTTTAGTGCCCTAAGAGAAAAAAATCTACACAAATTCTGATTCCTCATCGTTTTCTTCCAATTTGTTCAATTCAACCTCCAACGACTTACGTGGCAGCTTAATGTTTTTAAACACCAGAAAGAATACATACGGAGGTCCAATTTGCAATTTGGGTAAAAGAGTGAAAGATTAATACAAACACTGAAGAAGACCGAGTCGCATGAGCAAGCTGAATGCATGATTGCCAGGAAGACAGCTGAGTATCCTCTCTCCAGACTTCTCCTTCAATCTTGCAAGGCTGCTGGCTTCAAAACTTCTTAATGGAAAAGCCTAGATGTCAATCATATGACCTCGCACTTTTCCGGGCTACTTTTTGACTTCCAACAGCACGGAGCATAATCTGAGATAAGAACAACCTGACACCTTTCTCTTCATGGTAAATTTTTATAAAACAACTGGGAAAGTGAGCCACTTCCAAGATATAACAACAATTTGAAAAAACTCCACTTAAACAAAAACACACTGGTTAACAATCAGGCTCCGGACAAGCCACGCCCAAGTGGGGAGGGGCTTAGACTGCGCATGCTTGCGGGATCAACGCCGTCCGATTCTTGGCCAATAGAATACCCCAGTATAGACCAGCTGTCCGGTTGCCTCTAACCTGAAGAGTTTGACCCAGGATCCTTGGTCTCCGACGACCACCCTACACACACGAAGCCATGTCTTCCGGCAGACCCGTGGCGCTGGTGACCGGTGCTAACAAAGGAATCGGCTTCGCGATCACACGTGACCTGTGTCGCAAATTCTCCGGGGACGTGGTGCTCACCGCGCGGGACGAGGGGCGGGGCCGCACGGCGGTTCAGCAGCTGCAGGCAGAGGGCCTGAGCCCACGCTTCCACCAGCTGGACATCGATGACCCTCAGAGCATCCGCGCGCTACGCGACTTTCTGCTCAAGGAGTACGGAGGACTGGACGTGCTGGTCAACAACGCGGGCATCGCCTTCAAGGGTAAGCCTTGGGGGTTGGAAAGGGAAGGTGGCTTCCCCAACGCCTGTTAACATGGTGGCATAAGCCTCTCTGGGTAGCATTCCTAGGACCAACAGGACTACAGTGTGGGACACTGAAAGAGATCCCCTGGGAGAAACAGGACAGGCTAGTGACTGCAAGGATGCAAGAAAGCAAAGCCTCAGTCATCGCGATCTTTCAGAGGTTTGCCTCACGCAGTTGAAGAGTAATTGGGCTTAGGGATGCTTAAGTGGAACACTTATCGATAAGTGACATAAAAACGAATTGAGAGAAGAGCCCAGGGGAAAGGTGTTACATTACGATCCTGATATACAAACTTGACACAGCCTCCCCCAGTGGTGGTGTCTCTCAAAAACAATAGAACATTGTCAGATGGACAGTGAGGCAGAGCTGTAATAAACACTGACTGTACTTGGAAGTGGATCTCTAACTCTCTGTGTTAGGTCTTTAC